GGAGCTAGGCAAGCCCGCCACACGCCGCTGTCCGGCCAGTGGCCCCCCTCACCCCCGTACGCTCCACGGTCGCCCCTACTCACCTGCGAGGAAGAAGGCCACCATCCTGGAACGCTCCCGGGGCGGCGCCCACTTGCTGAGCAGCTCGTAGCAGGCCGTGAGGAGGAAGCCCTGCGCCAGGCCCTGAACCACGCGCGCCGCGCACACGCCGTACACGTCGCCGTAGGTGGCGCACGCCGGCATGAGCAGGTCGAAGAGGCTGGACACGAGCACGGACATGGCGAGGAAGCGCTTGGGCCCGAAGCGCTGCGCCAGCTGGCCCGCCGGGATGTTCATCACAACGTACCCCCAGAAGAAGGACGAGAGCACCAGGCTGGTGCGGCTGGAGTCCCAGTCAAAATGCTGTGGCATATAGACATTGTCATTAGCGTTTCGCCTTAACGTGTAGAACAGCGTTAAAGTCGGAGAAAATCACTGAAAACTGTGAGGAAAACTGCATAATGACGCTTGTCGATCACTAGATGATGACGAGCAATGTTTCTAAAATATTATCAAAGAGAGATATCAGATTAAATTTCCGAAAGCACCATCGGATTCCCTGTAAAATTCTCGATCAAACGAGTATACATGTGTGTTATGTTTCGGAGCAGAAATAATAACACTGAAAAAGACGTTAACTTGCATGTTCGCGTACAGAACCACGTATGCTCGTTTTATCGGGAATTTTGCAGGAAATCCGAGGGTCCCTTCGAAAATTTAATCTGAGAGCTCGCTTAGATAATATTCCTCAAAAACGTAAATACGCGCCCCGTCATCGTCTAGTGATCGACATGCGTCCTTACGCAGTTTTCGTGAAATAGACCGCAAGAACCCAAAATTCACATGGACGCCCTAGGGTAGTCAGCAAAACGTATCGTGGGACTCCATTAGGAAACCGTGGGGCGGTTGTCCAAAACCCAATGACACGGGGGTTCTCCTTTAGGCTTCATCATCATGGTGAATGTTGGACTACGTTGCAAAGAAATGTTGACGTCTGTTGTGCGGGGCTCACCGTCTGTCCCTCCCGTGGCTTCGTCATGGCGACGATGGCCACCGACATGTTGGTCCGAGTGCAGAACGCGACGGCTGCGCTGAAGAACATGATGAGGGCCTGGATGTGCCTCGTGCCGACGAGCTGGCAGGCGCGGTTCATGCCACCTGAAAAAGCAGACTCCAGTTAGAGCTGTCCCAGGCTAACAACGGTAACAACAATACTTTGTGCGAGCATTTTTCTTTTCCGTGTCAAAACGACTGGAAAAGCCACGAAAAAAAAAAGACACAATCAGTTCTATCATTTGGCGTGCCCCGAACATAATCAAGTCCCCCGTGGAACGCCTCCCATTCATTCGAATGCGGAGGGAGGCCACACGCCCGGCCCCGCCAACGCCAAGTACGTCTCCATCCACGACCCGCGAATTAAGTGCCCACTGCTCATTTGCACTTGACGCGGTGCTCGGCAGAGTCGACAGCCGTCACTGCGGGTAGCGATGACCATTCAAGTTCACGCCAAACGCGCCAGCCACATGTGTTTGGAGGGCCTGCGGCCCGTGGCGGCGCGACCTGAGTGGAAAGTTCTTTCCACGCCAACATACAGCGCACAGGCATCTTATTCGGCCCTATGGCGGGGCGGGTATCTGATCAGCACCCACGCCATTCATTCAGTTAGAGAGTGTGGTGCGAGCGGTAAAAAAAGTCAGACTTGCAGGAAAAAGGAAAAACTTTTAGCAACTCCCATACTGAGAAAAAGTTCTAAGATTGAGGAAATTTTATTTTAAACATGTGATAATTTTCCTTACTTTTTGATGAAATATCCTCATATAAACTGTTGAGTTTTCTATCAAAATATGGACTTTTCCCTTTTCCGCAAAAATTTCAGACTTTGTATTTATCGTGTGGGTGTGACAGCTAGCTCCGACCGATGAAGCCCAACTAAAACGACAGGGAAGCTCCGTCCAGTCCAATACACCCATGGGACATTCCCTGGTCCATGGGGCCTCGTGGGATGTAATGAGACACACAACCTCATGATATGACATGACCGGGAGATGCTATTTAACCGCATTTCACATATATTTTATGCAGCTTTCTCATGGGTGTCGTCCGTCATTGAGCAAACGACTTTCTTTCGCCAGTCCCCCGCACTTATTCCCAACCTCAGAGCCATGCGTTTTGCGAGAGAATTTCTCTCGGATTTAAGGCCACCCCGCATTTTGTCTACTTGATCGTCTCACGCGTTTGACCTACAATAGCCATTATTGGTCTTTGGGGGCGTCGGCTTCCAGTGTGAACTTCTATATTTACGTCAAGGTCGGTCTCGTTTAAGACAGATCGCAGAGCGCATCGGTCGTCGCGACCCACAGTGCCAGCTCGACGACCAGAAACGCCGGGTGCGGTATGAGCATGCCTTCCACGACCATCTTACACTTCTCTTAGCGTGATTTCCACCTCTTAAGTTATAGATGCGCACACTTATATAACATTGCACAATCTCCCACTCAAATCGCATTTTTTTCTTCTTTCTCATTTAGGGTGGCTGTACGTGTCCCCACCGCGCTGACTATACTCTAATCCACTCCCACTCCACTCCCAGCGCTGGATTTAGATAAGGGCAGCCGAGCAAGCAGCCCCAGTACCGCGCAGCGCGGATTTAAAAAGGGTTGTTTATTACTTAAAGCGCTGACAGATGTGTTGCCCCAACGTTTACAACATGCTCTACTAACGAACGGGACGCAAGCTCACGCACGCGGATCATAAGTTCGTTTCTTATCCGATTCGGATATTCGGGATTATCATCTGTCAATGGAAGATCCAAGTCCACAACAACTGACAAATCTTCAATAAAAATAGACGGCCAAGCAGCAGGCTGATTCAGCATGATTAGTTTTCCACTGATTTATGGTCCGACTGATACCTTACTGTCAAAGGCGCACTTGATCGCGACGATGGTAGCAGAGTCTGAGCAGGCCTATCGCCGGCCGGGCCGGGCCCCGCCTGCAGCGCACACACACGCTGATAATGCAACAGTAAAACAGTCCCACGGTCACACAAATCGAATTTTGGTCAAAAAGTGTATTTGGACCACTAAAGCTGCCCTGAAGTCGATCTGCCACAACTACCCTTTGAGGGGCGTAAGTGAGGGGCGAGGGGTACCCACCCTCATCCTATGGGGATGGTTCATGAAAATCGCCTTTTTTACTAGAAACATGTTTGGTGGTAAACCACACTCTTGTTCCTATTTTTTTTTT